ACTATACATAACACATGGAAGACTATCAATCAATAAGTACTATACATAACACAAGGAAGACTATCAATCAACAAGTACTATACATAACACAGATAAGACTACCAATCAACAAGTACTATACATAACACAATGTAGCATGCTGAAGGTTGATCTGTACCACTTGGTATAACAAATCAATACAAGGAAGACTACCAATGAACAAGTACTATACATAACACAATGTAGCATGCTGAAGGTTGATCTGTACCACTTGGTATAACAAATCAATACAAGGAAGACTACCAATGAACAAGTACTATACATAACACAATGTAGCATGCTGAAGGTTGATCTGTACCACTTGGTATAACAAATCAACACAAGGAAGACTACCAATCAACAAGTACTATACATAACACAATGTAGCATACTGAACTAGCTTTAACAAATCAATGATAATTTCTTGTAACATCATAGTACATATTATTTCATATTTCCTGTACCTTTTTGACAATGAATTGTGTTCATTTATTTATAAAAATATACCTACTTGAAAGACACTTATGTATTTTGGAAATAATGGTTGCAGCACCTTTCTGAAACAGAAGCCTTAAAAAGAAGCAACAGATTCTTCGAGTGTATGTTAGAAATGTCACCAGAAAAACTAACCTGGATAAGCCCAGGTGTTCCTTGGCCAGAGTTAGACAGCCCACTATCCCAGACAGCTACACTTTGTGAACCCACCCCAAAGGAGCCAAAAGGGTTAGTTGAAGGCACAGCCTGTGTACCCTGTAAGTACACAAAGTATTTTGATGTACAAGAAAGAGTATCATAAAAACCCAGAATTATACATAACATTCAACATAAAATGTAACATAAAGACCCAGAAATGTATATAACGATCAACATAAAGACCCAGAATTATACATAACATTCAACTGAAAACGTAACATAAAGACCCAGAAATGTATATAACAATCAACATAAAGACCCAGAATTATACATAACATTCAACTTAAAGTGTAACGTAAAGACCCAAAATTATACATAACATTCAACTTAAAATGTAACAAAGACCCAGAATTATACATAACATTCAACATAAAATGTAACATAAAGACCCAGAAATGTATATAATGATCAACATAAAGACCCAGAATTATACATAATATTCAAGCGTAAACAATAAATTCAGCCAAGAAAGAATAAGTAACATATTGATGCTGATACTTATATGTCCAGAGAATAAAATGTACAGAATGTATCATTATAAATATATCCTATATATTATTTGGTAGTTAAATATCAGTACTTTGCTGTCACCACCACACATGTTGTACATGTCCTTTGCTGGTAACAACGAAGCTAAGTAATCTTTGCATTCCAACTAAACGACACAATAACCACAAACTACTATTTATAACCATTGAAAAGACACATTATGATTCTATAAACGTTTGTTATCAATGTGTGAAACACGGACAGCATAACATTTTAGGACAGAGCAAAGTGCTTGCAATGTATCTTACCTGCATTATGACAGAACATAGTGCATACAGCATATCTTACCTGAGATGCAACAAAAAGTGTAAGCAGCATATCTTATCTGAGTTATGACAGAACATAGTGCAAACAGCATATCTTACCTGAGCTATGAGTAATGTGCAGGTAGCATATCTTACCTGAGGTATAACAGAACCAAGTGCAAGCAGCATATCTTACCTGAGCTATGAGTAACTATGTAACCTTACCTGAACTATGACAAAGTAAAGTGCAAGCAGCATACCTTACCTGAGCTATGAGTAACTATGTAACCTTACCTGAACTATGACAAAGTAAAGTGCAAGCAGCATATCTTACCCGAGGTGCAACAAAAAGTGTAGGCAGCTGTCTTACCTGAGGTACACCATTAGTCTGAAGCTGACTCCCCATTATTCCATTAGGCATACTCATAGCTCCAGCAGATGGAATACCTCCAATGATAGGTGCAGTCTGGTACACTGGCTGTGGTAAATACACACCTCCTGAAGAAAAAAATAGGTTTTAATACCTGCACATTAATACAGAGCACTGGTAGTGATATCTGTATCACATTGAAACATTAAACTTTTTATAGAAACACAGGCATACCACAACATACTCAGCTTTGTAAATATTATGTGAACAGTAAATATCCATGCTACAGTACTAACTGCTGTATTAAATAGCTTCACAAGAGTAACATCTGTCCCAGCTTTGTAAATATTATGTGAACAGTAAATATCCATGCTACAGTACTAACTGCTGTATTAAATAGCTTCACAAGAGTAACATCTGTTTGATGAAGTATCATATGGTTCACCAAACAGATAATATATAACAACATCACAGTTAACAAGTAAATTACAACAATAAAACAATGAGTGGTTTACCAAACAAGTGTATCTGGCTAAAAAAACGAATAATTACACTAGGTAGAATTTAGTTATACAAACTGATACACTAGATGGTAAAATGACATTAGTATTCTGTGTATGAAAACTTGATGGTTCTTTTCACATTACCTGGCACACCAAAAGATGGCTGGGATACTTTTGTTCCTGATGAGTACAGTGATAATATAGTTTCTTTAGTGAGAATATTTTTCCCCTGAGATTCAGCTGGTGCTTTCTGGTTAAAGAAATCTTTTTCATCCATTTCTGTACACTGACTGATATTTTCTGGGCTTGATACAGTGGTTACAGAACTGACGGAAGCTACTTCAGAAGAAGTCATCAGGATAGAATCAAAAAGATCATCAGTTGAGGATGTGCTAGGTGCATCTGCCACTGTAAAACAATTTCCAAGTTGTTAATAATTATAAAATGTAATAATACTCAATTAATTAAATGTTCTTTCAATTAACTTGCATAATTGTATTGCATATTTCCACTCACTTAGACCTAAAAGATCAATTGCAACCGGTTCAGTAATAATACTCAATTAATTAAATGTTCTTTCAACTTACTTGCATAATTGTATTGCATATTTTAACTCACTTAGACCTAAAAGGTCAATTGCAACCGGTTCAGTTAATTAAATGTTCTTTCAATTAACTTGCATAATTGTATTGCATATTTTAACTCACTTAGACCTAAAAGGTCAATTGCAACCGGTTCAGTTAATTAAATGTTCTTTCAATTAACTTGCATAATTGTATTGCATATTTCAACTCACTTACACCTAAAAGGTCAATTGCAACCGGTTCAGTTAATTAAATGTTCTTTCAATTAACTTGCATAATTGTATTTGATATTTCAACTCACTTAAACCTAAAAGGTCAATTGCAACCGGTTCAATTAATTAAATGTTCTTTCAATTAACTTGCATAATTGTATTGCATATTTCAACTCACTTAGACCTAAAAGGTCAATTGCAACCGGTTCAGACAGTCCTGAAGATGATGACTGCTGAGATTCTGACTTTTGTGAAGAGGTTGTAGTGTTTGTTGTAGGATGTGGTCGTGGAACTGCTGCTGGCTGGTGAGGTATCTGTATAAGTGTATACAAGTGAAAATTTACACAACAATATCAACATTAACCCGACAAATATACTGAATAATATGTCAGAACCAAATATCTTACTTCCTCATCTTCAATAATAAAGTAAAGAACCACTCAAGTCTATGTCATTCACTTTATGTAAAAAATAAAGTCACACCAATATTATACAAGACTTCTATACAAGCAAAAAAAAAAATACTAAATTAAAAACCTATAATTAATAGTTTAGTTATGTTACAGTTAGGATAAATGTTCCATTTCTTGTTATCAACTGTTGCATTAGCTAGCACACTAAATAATCTACAAAACTCCAAGGACAATTCTAACCAGAAAACACAACTCGTGAATGTGGGTGTTTAACAGGTGCTCCAGCTAGACATTTGAAATGGACCAACAAATTATATACTTTTTAAAAATTACATTACATCAGGAATTTTAAGATTGCACATAAAGATACATACAGTGTACAAACAAATTAATGTACATTCTACAGTACACCAAGTTAAAAACTCTGAAATCAAGACATATTTGTAATATCTCTTAAGTAAACAATCAACAGTTATATTTTTGTATAAGGCCTGATTATGGAGTATCAGAATGACATCTTACATCCCTTGGTACACTGTCAGGTCAATGTTCAGATTACAGAGTATCAGAATGACATCTTACATCCCTTGTGAACATTGACCTGACAGTGTACAAGGGATGTAAGATGTCATTCTGATACTCTGTAATCGGTACACTGTCACATCAATATGTAAGATGTCATTCTGATACTCTGTAATCTGAACTGAACATTAATGTGACAGTGTACTGAGGGATATAAGATGTCATTCTGATACTCTGTAATCGGAATATTGATGTGACAGTGTACTGAGGGATGTAAGATATCATTCTGATACTCTGTAATCTGAACATTGATGTGACAGTGTACTGAGGGATGTAAGATGTCATTCTGATACTCTGTAATCTGAACATTGATGTGACAGTGTACTGAGAGAAGGGATGTAAGATGTCATTCTGATACTCTGTAATCGG